TGAGGTGTTCTGTTGTTGGATGTAATAATGAACATAGCAGTCGTCATTTACTCCTGACATCTGAGCCGCTGAAGACGCAGTGGATTACGTATGTTTCTGAAGGGAATGCGCCCCCGATCTACCTAAATGCGTCTATGTTCGCGCGAAGTGAGTGTAAGGTTTTTTTAATGAAACTTTGCAAATCGCCTTTCCTAATAATGTGCTAGTTTCCTAATAATGTGCTAGTCTCTCAGAGAGTGGCTCGGAAGAGATGGGCGGGGTCAGCAGAGCTCATTAGCATTTAAAGCTGAATGCAATAAAACTGCATGCTGTAGACAGCTGGTTTTTGACAGTAAAAACGGTGTTGTTTTATACTACCATTGAGAAATTTTAACCAAACTATGTTACAGACTTTTCATTAAGACTCAAAAGAATCATATCAACTTGTGGAAAATGGGCATCCGATGACCCCTTTTAAGTTAAAGTTTTCCACACTTTTATTTTGCTGCCTTGAAAGCGCTGGTATTTTCTCCAGAACATGCAAATCTATTATGTATTGGGATGTGGGACAGTATTTTTTTTCCAGTATAATTGCTTTAAATCTCATATTCCCGTGAAGGAAAACATATGAATGTTGTAGACTTACAAATGATGAATCGTATTTGATACAAGTATCTATCAGAAGTCTGACCAAATAGTGTTATGAAACCGTAAAAACATTCACTGATTCCAACACTTTCTTATAATTCCTGGTAGTTTTCTTGCCTGTACCTCCCTGCATTTGTACATGTTCAGATATACTGTTTTTTAAGTTGTTATACTGTAAGAAGTTTAGTAACGGTCATTTTCTTCTCAGAAAGGAAAATATATTTTTAGCAATTTTCAAGCTAAAGAACTTAAAATTGATTAATGATATCAGGTTGCTGAACAGACTGTTTACTGTAGTTCATAAAGGGGTGATGTTTGCATACGCTGAAATATGCACTATTTTTATATTGAGCTTCATCTATATTGATCTGTATTTTATGGCGATATAATGAACACATGGTAATTATTAATGCAAAACCATAAACCATAGGACTCTTTTGAACTCTCTAATGTTCTAGTACAAGAAGATTATTACTTAGAAAATGAAAATGATTTCAATAACTATTATATCTAAAGCACAACTAATGTTTCTTTTGCGAGTACTTTAATAGATATGTTCTTTTGTATTTTATAAATCAATAAACATTTATTTTGTGCGAAAATGTGTGGATTTAATTGCAGAATTCAATAGTATTACAAAAAAAAAAAAAGCGATCATGTTTTATAAATTTAATTTTCCGAATTATTCTTCTATGGTAATCAACTGAACACCCAAGATAATCAAGTGTCATTTGAGTGCAATAACTATCAGTACAGATTGTCATGTGTATTGAGAATGTATGCTATTCCTGTGATTAAAGCGGAAAGAAAAGTACGACCACATTGTTTATATTAAAACTTTACTTCCTTTTACTACACAGCTATATACCTATTTAACTCACTACTTTTGTTTACAAAAATAAGCAAATGTTATACAGGGTTTCCAAACAACACGGCTACATATGCTTTTCATTTTATGGTCAAACAGTACATCAATATAAAACATGCAAATCTGGAGGCAGCGCTTTAAAATAAAAAAAGTGCCCAGACCTGTATAAATAGCAAACCAACTGGTAAGATGGCAGGTCAAATATACGCTGTATATTCATATATTTATATATTTAACGTGTAAAAGAACACGGATATGCATTCACAGCACACCCAGAGATACACACTGTTTGCTAGGGTGAAGATACACACAAAAAACAATGACCACTTCAAATCACAAAATAAAAAATCTACAAAATACTTAGTGAATTTAAATGTGGTTTTCAGACATTCAAACACTGTCTTATGAACATTTCAGTTATGTGCTTGCAAAATGAATCCATTTTTGGCGCAAGTCGTAGCATGAGACCCAAAATTTCAACTTTTAACAGCTGATGATCAAATTCATAAGACGACCGGCCAAAAACTGACTGCTGGAAACATTTTAGAAACTCCTGCCACATGCAAAGCTCTCATCTAGATGCTGATCTCTGTTAATCATATCATCATGTCCCGTTAATTAAGGTTCCTCCCTCAAATTACATTCGACTCACACTAGGGAGTGAGCAGCACCGGTGTCCAGGAGAGCATTATGGGATGCATTCATGATCAGAGAAGGTTTAATCAAGCTTTGATCACACAGTGCAGTACACTACAAGAAGAAACACAACCGTTTCATTGCATTTATGAAGGAATGAGAAACATATGTAGTGGTGTTTTCTAGCCGTTTATGTGGTGTGTTGCACTACTGTCTATATTCAGCCATTAAAGACATTAAAAAAATTTTAAAAAACTACGGTCAGACCCAGCTGTCGTCCACATTCTCTGGCCGGTCCAGCGGGGTTCAATCTTAGCGTTCAGGTCAACTCTGGCCTCGAATGAATAATGAAAGTTTGGTGTGACGCTGACCCTTCAGTTCTGTGTAGATCTGTTGTGCTCTTGAAGTCAAAGCAACCGTATGCCCAGAGAATAAAAGCCATATCACGACAGCAAAGCCTTCATCCATATTTGTGCATCTCTCACTTTTTTTGGATTTGCCAAAATGTGCGAAAAGTTACGACAAAGGTCTTTTGTTGGTGTGACAGGAAGAACCCCAAATCACCATGTAGCAGCACCAGAATCCCAATATAAGGTTAACTAGAGAATGAGGGAGAAATCAAGAAAGAGAAAGAGAAAGACAAAGAGAAAGTTAGTTTCACCACATTTTAACCCAAGAGGAAAGAAAAATCCTTCGGTCATTTAAAAAAAACAAAAAAGCACCACAGCGTGTCATCATGCTCAAGAGAAGCAGATTAACACACCTGCAAACACACAACAGGTCTCAAACTTTTATTGCAAAAGGGAACAAAACAGACCTAAAAATAAAAATACTGTTTTGATGCACATTCTCTCATTTAGTTTTTTCCTTTTACAGTACAGCTGAAATGTCTTCTTGATAAACAGTTTGTAAACACGGTAATCAAACAGACTCATTTGTTCAGAAGGCTGTTGGTGGAGTCTTCTCGCCTCATCTTTGGAGTGTCCAGTCGAGGAGGACTAGGGCGAGAGGGTCAAAGGTCAAATAAGAAACACAAGCAGGCCAAACACCAATTCTCTGAACAAACCTCTTCTTCATTAGTAAATGAGAAATGATCGGAGAAACGATTCAGTTTTGCATTGGAGGGCAGAGGGTGTTTATGAGAATTGGTACAGAAACTTCTGTTGGATTATGGCAAATTCTTCATATCCCATCTTGGACAAATCTTTCACACAAATAGTTAACACACTCACATGCTTAAATTTGCTTCAACAGCAAACGAATGCCACTGCACACAAAAAAATAGGCACTCCATGACTCTGTTCCAAAACCAAGTGAGCAGCCTAGAGTTTAGTGTTAGCACAAAAAACATACAAATACTGGATAAAATAGCATTTTCAATTGGATTGAACTGGTTTTTGATCAAGTTTGATAATAAATTACATTTACATTTATAATTAACACCACTTTACTATCATTTTATGGTAACCCTTTATTTTAAAGGGATAGTTCACCCAAAAATGAAAATTCTGTCATTAATTACTCCCCCCTCATGTCGTTTCAAACCCGTAAGAACTCTGTTCATCTTCGGAACACAAATTAAGATATTTTTGATGGAATCTGAGAGCTCTCTGACCCTCCCATAGACAGCAAGGATCCTTACACGATCAAGGTCCAGAAACATAGCAAGGAGATCGGTAAAATAATCCATGTGACATCAGAGGTTCCAAAAAATGTGCACAAAAGAAAAAATAATTGACTATTCAACAATTCGTCTCCTCCACGTTGATCGTGTAAGGACACTTGCTGTCTATGGGAGGGTCAGAGAGCTCTCAGATTCCATCAAAAATATCTTAATTTAATTTACATTTAGCATTTGATAACATTTATGATATCAAATTACTGGAATTACTGACTGTTAAGATTCCCCTCTTGTGTATTACATTACAGCAAATAATCAAAATGCTGCCAAAGTAGGTGGGTTAGGAGGTTTTGGAACAGAGCCCTTTTGTAAGTAGTTACCCTGTTTGAACCCAACACATGCTCCTCAGAAATTAAACGTATGGTCATAATCTACATCATCCACGTCATCCAGAGCCCAGTGCCAGTCCTGAAGCTCCGAATCCAGAGGCCTGCAGGTGGAGGAGAGAGCATTCAGCCAAGCCTTCACCAACCTCACTACAGACTGTCTCGGTAAGGTCTGGAGGTAGTTTCGCTAAGGTGAAGCTACAACTTGGCACATAATTACTATATCTGAGCTAAACCTTAAAAATAAGACTGGCCACTGCTCAATGTCTGCTGAAGCTTTAAAGGCTGTACATCTGTATGCATCTTGAGTTTGGTGAAGATACAGACCTCTATGTGAGAAGTTTGATGCATACTTTTAGTATTTAGCCTTTAAATTCACTGTTACTAATCACAATTAAAAACCTGAGTTGGATACAAAAGAGAAAAAGTGCTTTGTTAATGCCCAAGCTGTCATCTTGCATCCCAAGTTACAAAAAGCAGTCCAGCGTAACACTGTTTAAGCTTTATATCCAGTTAGCCACCATTAGCAAAGACCGTAAATGTTATTCTGCTAGTCAAGCACTGCGATTTAAACCTTGAAAGCTCTTGAATGATGTTACTGAAGCATGCTAAAGCTAAACATCAATACATCCTCCATCCAACTTCCAGGTCGGCCATGTTCTCCTCTCACCCCGTGCTGAACTGGGGGTTGAACGGGTCTGGAGCACAGGGTCTGAGACTTTCCTCTTTCTTGTCCATGTGCTCTTTGTGGCATTTGATCTGGCATCTCTGGCATTCCAGAGCCAGAGGAGGTTTGAACATGTTCCACAGGGGCTTGGTACAGGCCTCACAGTTGGCAGGAAAGTGGTAGAATAAAGGAATAAACTCGTGTCCCTTGTGGTAGATGAAGCCAGATTTCTCCGCACACGCTGTTGGTTCCTTTAGGTTGTGCACAGACCTGTGTATCATATAGAGTAGCACTCTAGTGTGTAACCGGTGCCAAACACGTGTCTAGCGCTTCTGCATTGATTTTATGAACAGCCATCTTAGAATCAAACTTTACAGAACAAGATGGTAAAGGGACAGTTCACACAAAAATGAAAAACAGTAAATTGTCATCATTCACTCACTATAATGTTGTTCCAAACTCGTATGACTATTTATTCCATATAACATAAAAGATATTTTACAATGTCCAAGATGCATTTTTTTTCTATAAAATGAAAGACAGTGACCAAGAACCAGCAAATAATTTTTTTGAAGTTGTAAATTGAGAAAAGATAACTAAAGTAACGTTTTCCAGAAAATACTTTTTACTTTATAAAACTCAATGTGTAGAAAATTTGAGATTTCTTGTGAAATTTGTAAAATTGACTACATTTTCTGAAAATTGTTTCAAATTAAATCCTACACAGATTTTTTTCAGTGTACTAAAAATGTCATCTTGACAGCAAAATGATAATAACAATACTATGGAAGCCTGCTTCTGCCACTGAATAAAAAAATAAAAAGGTAATTGTGACTTTTTTTCCTCACAATTGCGAGTCAGAATTGTGAGATATAAACTCGCAATTCTGAGAACATATCAGTCTATTTTTCCCCTCAGAACTGGACTTTATAACTCGTAATTGCGAGTTTATATCTCACAATTCTGAGAAAAAAAGTCAGAATTGAAAGAAAAAAAATCTGAATTGCGAGATGTAAATGCAATTGCGAGAAAAAAAAGTCAGAATTGTGAAGCAAAAACTCGCAATTACCTTTTTTATTTTTTATTCAGAGTCAGAAATGGGCTTCCATACAATACACAATTTAAGATGTGGCAGAAATTACACTGTGGTGAATAAAATCACGGTTTTCAGGAAAAAAGAAAACAGATTCATGTGTATACACCAATGAACATGTAATTGCAAAACCACTTCAAAAGAGCTTTTTTCTGTTTTTAAACATACTACAGACTTTCTTTTTTTTGTACTGTATGTAAAACAGCAGTTTGGGCATTCTGCTAAACTTATTGTGAGTCACACAGGAATGACTTGAGAATGAGTAAATGATGACTGTTTTCATTTTTGAACAAACTGGTCTGAAAGGATCTGTGAACGAAAACCAGGCCTTTATGTAATCCTCTTACTCTAGAGACTGACTCTGATGAACAACAACCTGGGCAATGTATTTGAACTAACACAGCGCAAACTCATGAAAACACAAGATAAAACTGTACACAGCCATATGATTAACTGAATTTTGCATTAAAAAAGGCATGTCAAGGCGTATTACTCACCTGGGTTTGCCGGAGGGTATTTGTCGGCTGGGTCTCCTCATGGATTGACTGCTTTGTACTTTAACAGGAACTCTGGGAGAGGAGCGGTGAGGGGCTTCTGGTGCTGGAGGTTTTTTAGGGATCTTCTTCATGAGCCGACTAACCCATTTCTGCTGGTACTCCTGAGAAGATGCTAACAGCAGCAGATTTTTAGCCGTAGACACATCGTAGTTCACTAGAGATAAGACACAGAAAAGAAGAGTGGATGAGGAGAACAACAAGTGAATGGGACATGAAAATAGAAATAAATAAAT